CTATACTATGACGTTTTTTCCATGGTTTTTGACAACATGCTATACTATGACGTTTTTTTCTTCCTTTTTGATGGCAGACTATACTATGACTTTTTTCTTCCTTTTTGACGACATGCTATACTGTGACTTTTTTTCTTCCTTTTTGATGACATACTATACTATGACTTTTTTTCATGGTTTTTGACGACATGCTATACCGTGACCTTTTTTCCGGTTTTTTCACGACATGCTACAATATGAATTTTTTTCATTGTTTTTGACGATATGCTATAACAACTTTTTTCACTGTTTTTGACGACATGCTATACTGTGACGTTTTTTTTATGGCTTTTGACAACATACTATAATATGAAGTTTTTTCATCGTTTTTGACGACATGCTATACTGTGACGTTTTTTCATTGTTTCTGACGACATTCAGTACTATGAGGTTTTTTGTTTTTGACGACATGCTATACTGAACTTTTTTCATCGTTTTTGACGACATGCTATACTGTGACGTTTTTTCATTGTTTCTGACGACATGCAATACTATGAGGTTTTTTGTTTTTGACGACATGCTATACTGAACTTTTTTCATTGTTTTTGACGACATGCTATACTATGACGTTTTTTCATTGTTTTTGATGACATATTATACTATGATTTTTTTTCCATGGTTTTTGACGACATGCTATACTATGACGTTTTTTAATGGTTTTTGACGACATGCTATACTATGACTTTTTTTGTCCTTTTTGACGACATACTATACTGTGACTCTTTTTCATCGTTTTTGACAACATGCTATACTATCATGTTTTCTCATCATTTTTGACAACATACTATAGTTTGACTTTTCATGGTTTTTGACGACATACTATGACTTTTTTTCATGGTTTTTGACGGCATGCTATACTATGACGTTTTCATGATTTTTGATGACATACTATACTACTATTATATGACTTTTTAAAAGTTATACTTGCTGAAAATTGTGTAATGTGATAAAAAAAAACAAAGCCAGAGACATTAGACCGATATCTACATGTTTATTGTAGATTCAAAAACAGGTAATAAAATACATTCTTAAAATATAAGTTGTATTCAATACATCTGTAAATAAAGTGAAAGTTCACAGAACTTTCTGAAAATCTAGATGGAGACAAAATATTTCTTGCACACAAAACACAGGACAGTTACATGTTGTATTTTAAGTATCTCAGGGAGTCCTGGTCAGGCTGCAGTGAAAGAGACAAATTACTTTTAAAAGGTGCTGAAAGTTAGCAGCGAGCGTTATTCTTTCAGGACGGCGGCTCAGGCTCAGTAACGTCTCTGAAGAGCCGTTTGAACAGAGCATCAATTATTCATCCACTCTCACACAGTCTGTGACAGCGGCTTCACACGCCGCCCGTCAAATGTGCTGCATCAGTGGAATCTATCTTCCTCTTTGTCCTTCTCCGTCGGCGGAGGACGGAGTGCGCACAGAACACTGGCAGCCATTTTAAAAATCAGGAACAAAAAGTCAGAGTGTAGGGAGAGTACAGAAAGTGTGGTGTTTCTCAACAATGATCAGATCATGAAGTCATAATGCTTAACAGCAGCTTTAAAGTGCTATTAATCTTCAACGCAAACCTTTTACACTGCTTTCCCCAAAATCAGAGAAACACTGGTCTTTTTTAAACCCCCTAAATGTGGGACTGTTTCTTTAAAAGATAATTCTACCCCTTTCATGTCACTCAAAACAATTTCTCTTTGATTTATATTGTTACTCTGTAAGATTTCACATAATTCAATTCCCAAAAGCTCCTCCGTGACTTCACACAATACTCCCGTGTGGTCCCATCGTATTCCAAACATTTATACAGCGCATGTTGAAGTACATGTCTATCACACAGGTTTGTAAGCATCATATCTCCAGTGTTTCTCTGTTGGTAAACCTCAGACTGTTTGTCATCTCGCCTCCTCTAGTTTTAGCAAGCTGAAGCTTAAAGGTGCAGTGCAGAATTTTCCTCTGACTCAGCAGAGAGTATTGCACAAAGATCATGTAAAGCAGGGGAAGTCCAGTACAGCTGCAGGCAACTTGAACTCATCAGTCATGGGGCTCTGTCCAGCCTGGACGCCCTGCAGAAAGACGAGGGAATGTAGATTCATCCATTGAAGAGATAGAAACCCCCTCGACTCCTCCAGAATGTAACTTTTTTGTTGTGTTTTTTTTTTTTTTTTGTCCTTTTTTTCCTCAGCTTTTTCAGGAGCTGTGAGAGTTGGGAGGAACCCTTCCGTCCTCTCCAGCAGGTCAGGGTGTCAAACACCAGGTGGCGATGTTTTCTCACAATCAGCCAGAGCTGCTCTCCTGCTGCCGAGCTAAAACACAGAAAGGTACAAATAAGGATTTAGAATATATATTAATTTAAAATATGAAGTGTATGAAAGCTTGACACTAACAATAACATATGAATGTCTGTGTGAAATAAAAATATATAAAATATGTGACTTTGTTATGAACATTAAAATCATAATATAGTATAATGTGACATGAAAAGTAAAAAATAAAGTCTAGTATATCTTTAAAAAGGTCCTAAATGTTTTTTTAAAGTCACATGAAGTAAATAAAACAAGTCATAGTAAAGTAAATCATAAAAAGTTTCTTACATAGTATAGTATGTTGACGTTTAAAAAAAAGTCACAGTATAGCATGTTGTCAAAAACGACGAAAAAAGTCATAGTATAGCATGTCGTTAAAAACATCCAAAAAGTCATAGTATAGTATGTCGTCAAAAACGATGAAAAAAAGTCATAGTATAGCATGTTGTCAAAAACGATGAAAAAAAGTCATAGTATAGTATGTCGTCAAAAACAAAAAAGTCATAGTATAGCATGTTGTCAAAAACGATGAAAAAAAGTCATAGTATAGTATGTCGTCAAAAACAAAAAAAGTCATAGTATAGCACGTTGTCAAAAACGATGAAAAAAAGTCATAGTATAGTATGTCGTCAAAAACAAAAAAAGTCATAGTATAGTGTGTCGTCAAAAACAAAAAAAGTCATAGTATAGCATGTCATCAAAAACGATGAAAAAAAGTCATAGTATAGCATGTCGTCAAAAACATCAAAAAAGTCATAGTATAGCATGTCGTCAAAAACAAAAAAGTCATAGTATAGCATGTCGTCAAAAACAAAAAAAGTGATAGTATAGCATGTCGTCAAAAACATCGAAAAAGTCATAGTATAGGATGTCGTCAAAAACAAAAAAAGTCATAGTATAG